ACATTGAACTGCTTTTGTCTTTTCGCAGTAAAAACTGCGAAAAAACAGGAAAGCATTTAAATGTGGAAAAAATGAAGCTATCTTGACCATACCCCATTTCAGTAGAACGACTCTGTGCTGCTCTGGGAGTTCCTGCCAGCGCAAGGGGCATTCCTGTGGGGAAGGGCTTGGTAGTGAGCAGCTATTGCTAGTCAATATTTTTTTTCTCTAGTCAGAAAACCTGTTCTGTTCATCTTCCACCTCTCTTTCTTCTTGTGCTGTGCATTTTGCTGTTAACAGAGATCTCCGCAATGAATAAACTGACCATTTGGGGCAGTGAGCCCAAAAACTCAAAAAACAAAGTTGTTTCCTTGTTGTGTGTCTTTGGTTTTTGTGGTCATCCGTGTGCTAAACTAGAAAGTTGTTCTGCTCTTTTTTGTCTCTACAGAGCAAACTCTCGTCACATCAGGAGCTGTAAGAAGGCCTGCCTGGGGATTGTGCTGCTATCATTAAATGCAGCATGGTGCTCTTAGATGGTCTGTTTTTTCCTTGTATGTATTAATCGCGTGTTCTGGCCGTGTCTCCTGTGCCAGCAGCGGTACCTGAGCTGGTCCTGCCTTACTCCAGCCCATCCAAAGTCTTTGATTTTCAGTCTGGTCAGGTCCCTTGATTTATTTGCTCTGAGGTCCTGCAGCTGCTGGTTGGGCTGCTGCTGCCTGGGCTGATTTACGTTTCCCCAGAACCACCCTAGGGTGGCTGAGCCGGAAGGGGAGAAATCCCTTGGCACAGCAAATGCTGTGACAAAATGAATGTCCTGTCACTTTGGAGGAGATTGATTCCTCTGTGGGAGGCGGCCACCTGGGCCGGGGCGAGACGGCTGCCATGGAATGAGCTCTCCCCTGAGATATGACACCTCCACCCTGAGAACAGGAGCCTGGCTGCTTTTTTCAAGTAAAAGAAGATATGGGGAAAGGAAACTGTAGCTCACTGTTAGCTATTCTGATTGTTGTGGAGTGCCACCACCCTTCCTTTGCACCCACGTGCATTATATTTAGTTTTTTCTGACTCGCTTGACTCCAGCTCATTTTTTCTTAGGGTGACAAGGATGCTGCAGCTGCCCAGGCGGCACATCAGAAACCACAGGCATGTGCAGAAGCTTCACTTTGCTGCTGTATTGATGGCTTCATTCAGCAGCCCTGCGACTGTCCTGGCAGGAGGACCATATGGGCAGCACGAGGAGGATGAGGAGAAGCCGCTGCCCGTGTTGGTGCCGCTGCATTAGTGAGGATAACTCCAGTTTACCCCCTCAATCCATTCTGTGTATAGAGCTTCTGAACTGCAGCTTAACACGTGTTTATAACAAGCACATATGCATAGGTGGAAAAACAGAGAGAGAACTGCTTAGCAGTGATCCTTTATCTAGAGCAATGAAGTGGTTTCTACTAGTTCCCAAAATGACTCGGAGAAGGGATTGATGGCTCTCTTGCTTTCAGTGTAGTTTATTGCAGAGCAGCGGCCCCATTCTGTAACAAGGTTTTTAATTGACTAAAGATTTTAAATGGAAATTGGTTCCAGTCCCCAGTGAACTGTAAAAAGAAATTTATCTTCCTCTGTTTTGCTGGTGAGATATTAAATTGAGTTAAATTTGTCCTGGAAACGTGCCTGTTTTCAGTAACAGGCTCTGCATGCTTCAGCTGGGATAGTTGCTGTATCTTGAGGTGTGAGCTTTGGTTCCTTGGTGACCTGGGTCCTACCAGGTTGAATCAGAGTTGTACATTGGAACCTGTGCTGCTTAAAGTTCCAGAATTTTTCTGTATAAAAAACTTGGTTTACAGTTTTGAGAAGTATGGGAGCTTGTGAAATGAATATGGCAGCTTTTGGCAAAGCTGGTGTTGCTCTGTATGCTGTAGCTCAGAGCTCCAGTTCAGTAGACTGCATCTATTGCAGAAATGAGCTACTTGGACTTCAGAGCAGTTGAGCCTTCTGACCTAGTTGTGGTAAGTGAGATCTAAGGTTTATTCAGAGAGTTTTGGTTTTAGACTTTTATTTTCTCCAGTAGCACTGCGGTGCTGTGGTCTTGATGCTCCTCATCACTGCTTGAATCTCTGGTCCGGATGCTGAAACCAGCCTAGTACTTTCTCTCTAGGGAGAAACTGGCACACGCTAATTAGTGAAAGCAGAAATGGTCCTTATTGCTTTGGTACTCGAACCTGAAATATGTTTGTCATGTCTTCTGGTGTAGCCTGAGATTCCTTTTCTGGATTCCAGGGTGGTCAGTATGTGGCTCATGGCCTTTATTTATTACAGACCAACAAGAGGTCTTGGTTTATTCTAGCAGCCCAGGAGAAAGTGACCAAATGGTTTATTTTCATGGGATTTAGGTGCATCTTTTCCCTGGTATAAGGGGAAGCCTTGCATCTTGTTGCTTTGAAAGGAATGGTTCCACATCAGCAAAGCATGTGCTTTATGTAGGGTTGTATCTAATTTCTTTGAATCTATTATTGGGTCAGATTTTTATGCCTTGGACTTGACAAGGAGCATAAGCTGTCTTCAAAATGATGCACTCAATTGCTATGTTTTTGCTGGCAGGTTCCAAACATGCTCTGGTGATACGGGGTATCAGAGTGCAGAGTTAGCTCAGACCCTGCGAGTACAAAGCGTTCCTGGAAAACACTTCGAACTGCTGTTATTGGTAACATAAATTCCACTCACAGAACACTTGTGCTCTCTGCTAGTGTGAAGTGAGTCCTCTAACCTGGTCAAATTCAGCTTTGGTCACAAGCACTTTGTGTTCTGTGACTGTGTGACCTGCACCCTTGTAGTGGGATGTGTGCAGCTGAGTGTTTTCTACAGTAATATTGGCTTTTCAGAGTGTGTCCCTTCCAGTGATAGAATTAAAGATGTGGCACTGAGCACCTCTCATGTTGTTGGTTTGTTGCACTCATATTGCATGATAGGAGTATTTTACAAAGTGATCTCTGCTTCCTTATTACTGAACTATGGTGAAGTTAAGATGACCACGTTTGCAGTTTAGGTGAGCTTTTAATACAGGATATTGACCATCCCTGTGTTTTGAGACATAAATTAACCACAGAGGTCAGGAAGATGTTAATCATGTCGCGCTGGCCTGGCTGAGTTAGAGCTTGTCTGAGCCAGCACGGTGGCACCTACACTTCCATTATGCAAAGATGCTCTGGCCTTGACAATTATGGTCAGTGCCTCCCACTATGAACAATTTGCACAGTCATATATTTTCATTACCTTTTTTTAATTAAAGTGAACAATAAAATGTTACAGTACAAAAGTTTTTGTGTAAACATAGATAGGAAGCCATCAGTATGTCCATTACTGGAGCAGCATTAGGGCAATTGTGTTAAGGGTTAGAGTAAAGAAAAATACCACTATTGTAAATTCACTAACCTGTATACTGTATAATTCATGAACAGATAAAGAAAATATATTTTTAATTAGGATATTTTGCATGTTTTTCTCTTTTCTGCAGGGCAATGCTGATATGCAGATGGATTGAGCAACAAACATCATCTTGACAGGACTAACAGGATATGATACAAAACTGTTAGAATGTGTGCAAGAAACATCTTATGGAGAAAATACAAGGAGTGGGGAAGAAAAGTAGGTATTTTTTTAATTGTTACATTTTGGGGTTGGACTAGATGACATCTAGACGTCCCTTCCAACCTTAAGCATTCTATGGTTTTCCAGAAATAGCAAAATACAGTCAATTTGGAGGCTTCAGTGAGGAATCCCAAGTTAGGAGCTTGGGTAAACCACTTTAATGTTGACTGAAGTAGCTGACAAGTTTGTTTTGGCCTTTAATAGTTTGCTTTGAGACGAGCTTTCACTTTGAAGTCACCACAGTCTTGTTTAGGAGGGCCTAATGCTTTTACATCATCCAGTTTCTGTAGATGTAGTAGAAGGCGTCATATGAATTTCCAGTCACACTTTTTTCCAAGTATCTAAGCCCTGTGCTTTAGTATCTCATTCTTATATAAGCAGCTGCTTTGTTTTTCCTATGAATAATATATCTAGTTGATAAAGCCCTAAGGCATTCTCAGGTTGTGGAGGGGTGTTTATCAGACAAGATATAAGTACAATTTCATTTTGTGTGAAGCAGATTTCCTTATTGGAGTAAGTTAGGTGAATGATTTTTGCATGAAATGTTTGAAACACTGTGTTTTCAGTGCACATCTGTGTACACATTTGTTTTTTTACAAAAAGCGGCTTTGCATACCTGATTATTCATTAAAAATATATTGTTACTGCTTGATAAAACCAAAAGGAGTTTGTATTATAGGTTTTCCTAACTGTTGCTAAGTTCTCATTAGCTGTGTCTTATCTGAGTAGGGACTATAGGAGCAAAGCAAGAACAAATGACTATTCTGTGTCAGTCTTAACTCCCCATTTCATGACAAAGCAGCAGCATTTATTTTATGTTACATTAGCATTATAAAATAACATGCTTTAAACAATTGGATAGTATCATTCAATGTAGACAAGTAATGCAGAGCAGAATTTTCTTCCTCACTTTTAGCTCATGGCAAAGTGTCCCTGTGGAGGGGGCAGGCAGAGCGGGAGCCGCGTGCTGGGCTGCTCGTAGCTTATCTGGGGTGCCAGGCCCGGAGCCCGGGCACGCTGGGCAGCGCAGCGGGCAGCGCTCCTGTGCACGGGGACACTCCTGTCGCATGCAGCGCTGGCTGCAAGGCCGAGGCTCTTGGGAGCTCAGTTCTGAAACGGGCAGTTGTGTTGCACAAACGTCTTGCTGCCTTATTTATTGTTGAAAGAGCTTCCATTTTGACCCTTTCTCGCTTCACCTAGGGAAGACTAAAATAAAGGTCAAATGGTAGAGTAAGTTTTACGCCCAACGGTGTCCCCACCCCTGCTTAAGTATTAGTCATGGCTTTATTGAAGTCTCTGCGTCTGTGGGAACATAGGATAGCAATGTTTGTGGCTTGAAACGCGCCGGCCTTCGGCTCAGTCAACGCCTGCCCAGAGAACTGCTCTCACGGTGAGAAAGTGGTAGTTGTTTCTGTCTCCATGGCTGCAGAAAACCTCTTGCTCTCCCGGCAGGCAGAGAGCTGCCAGAGACGCTCTTGGCTCAGGCAGCCGAGTTCCTTGAGAAGCTTGAAGAGGTCGTTGCGGAATTTGACGCCAATGAAAGCGTAAAGGAAAGGATTGAGGCAGCAGCGGAAGCAGGCCAGGGTGTAGGTCACGTCGTCTGCCATGTCCAGCTTCTTGCTCTCCTCGCATGAGCTGGTGTGGTTGAAAGCTGAGATGGTCTTGGCCAGCATGACCCCGTTGTAGGGCAGCTGGAAGACGAGGAAGACTATTACCACAGCAATGATGACCTTAATAGCTTTATTCTTCTCAAAGTTGCGGGCCTGGAGTAATGTTTTGATAATGATGAGGTAGCAGACAGACATGACAAGTAGGGGAAATAAGAAGCCAAAAACCATTTGGGACACCTTGATACCAGTGCTAAATGTCTGCAAGTCAGTAGCGATGATGGAGCAACGCGGGTGGCTGTCTGAGTTGTTTATGCCGCTGTGAACCAGCTCGGGGATGGAGAGGATGAAGGCAAGGAGCCAGATGAGGATGCATGTGACCTTGCTAATGAAGATCATCCGGGGCCGGAAGCGGTGGGCGGAGGCGGCCTGAACGATAGCGAAGTACCTGTCGATGCTGATGGACAGGAGCAGCAGCATCCCGCTGAAGAAGCTCATCTTGCAGATGCAGTAGACGGCTTTGCAGGCAAACTCCCCAAAAAGCCAGTACATGGCTGCGCTTGTGGCCCAGAAGGGGAGGGTGAGCAGGAAGAGGATGTCTGCCAAGGCCAGATTCAGCAGGTAGATGTCCGTCATGGTCTTGAGCCTCTTAAAGTAGATGTAGGTCAGCATCACGAGCCCGTTCCCCAGCAGCCCGATGAAGCAGATGAGGGAATACATGGCTGGGAGGAAGGCAGCACGGAAGTTCCGGACCTCCTCCTTCTCGCACAGGGTCTCGAACAGAGTGTAATCGATGGTGGTGTTAGGGTCATAGTCGTCAGTGACGTTGTTCCCAGTGCAGAACTAGAACCAGGAAGGAAGAAAAATGCATTGAGATGGGTATTCTGGGTGCACAACCCTTACCCTTCCATGAGTTGTTCCAGGATGTGGACTGAAGTTGTCATGAAGCCAAGCAGGAGCGCCCAGCCAACAAAAGGCAGAAAAATCCCAGGGAATTTCCAGGCATGAAGGCTTTTGTATGTAGGGTTGAGGTTCAGAATGGGAATTAGTGCTCAGCCCAAGTGACACCTGAAAACTTTTGAGTAAATAGATGAATGTTTCAGGACCCAAATGCAGCTGTATAAACACAGCTGATTGTCACATAAAATAGGGAAAAAAAATACCTCCTTCAATATTCCCCTTTTCAGAAGGAGGAAAATTTCCTCTTGACTGACTATACTCAGGCATTTTTTAATTTTGTTAAAAATTAAAATTCCCTCCTCCCAGCTCCCTCCTGTTCTTCATGTGAACTTTCCGGTAGTGAAAGAACCAAGTGGGAGGGTAACTGCCGTGTGTGTAGCCAGCAGCAGGCTGGCACCGCGATCTCCCTGGCTGCCCCGCGCGCTCGCAGCGACGCGCAGCTCTGCAGAGCAGCCGCAAACGCGGCCGTGCGCGCGGAGCGCTCTATGGGAACGCGCAGCCAGAGCCTCCTGCGGCTTTTTCTCCTCTGCTAAATAGAGGTGTCAATGAAGCGCTTACGAAAGGCACTGACTGCAGTAGGAAATTGTGACGGTGCTGACGGGGATGAGCTGTTAGTATCTCATTCAGGCCCCTGATTTAAGCTCCGATTAATCTTGTTTCATCTTCCTACACTGCCATAATCTCTGGGGCAGAGCGAGCTTGTGGTGCATGCGCCCTGCTTTCCTGTGCCTTATTAGTCTCCAGTGCCCTTTCTCCATTGCCTGGAGATGAAAGGTTTCCTCTGGATGCCTGTGCCCGTTATCGCCGAGCATCTTGGCCTGCCCGCGCGGGAGCGCGCGCTTGGCTTTCACCACATCCTGCGCTACCTGGAGGCAAAGCCGCCAAAGTGAAAGGGAAAAGGGCCGCCCGCCGCGCGCCCCGGAGCCCGCGCGCGGCCCGCGCGCTTGAGGCTCTGCTGTGGTTGCAGGAGGGCAAGCGCCGGGGGCCGGGCGCGAGGTTCAGGGGCAGGTCACGGCCAGGCTGGGTGCTCTGGGTTCTCTTCCCAGCTTTAGGTTTATTCAGAGCAGGGGCAGCAGGAGGAAGATGAATATAGTGTTCAAGGCAACTGAGCTCTTCCTCTTTCCACATTTCAGTTCTCCATTGCTAGCCTCAGTTAAACTGCAGGGGCCAAGGCGCTTTGACCAGATCTTTCCTAAAAGAATAACCCGGATTTTCCCATGTATTCAGGAAATGATGCTGCTGTGTTTTTTCCTGAAAATCTTAATTTAGGTACCAGAGTGGCACTCAAGGACATCCTGAAATCCCAGTCTATGTAACTGTCTTTTTCTTTCTGATTTTGTTCTGTATGTTTCCCTCACCCCACCTCTGGCTTTCAGCACTGCACTCTGCTTTCTCATCATCCACCTCCATGCATGACTGGATTCTTGGTGTGAGAAGCAGCATCCCCCACAGATCTCTAGCACTGTAGGCAGCTGCTTTTGGTCCGTCAAAGTTTCCAAAATCTCTGTTTACCCACAAAACAGATGCAGCTATGTTTCAACCACATTGTTTTTAACATCTTACCTGAAAAATTAGAGGAAGGCTGAAAACAATGGTAAACTTTATCCACTTGCCTAGAGAAAAAGGAGACACTGTGTTACTGTTAGCAGTTAGGCAGAGGGTTTCGTGCAATGTCCCTTTTGAAAATGTAGCTAAGTTTTAAATGAGCAATACTGTGCAGCAGTAACACACCCCGTCATGGTGTTCTCAACCCTGTTATCTCCTCTCAGCTGGCTAAACAAACTCGGGGGGCTATAGGGCTACCTAGAGTAATGTGACAAGTTACTGTCAGAGCGTGGACTCGATCTGAGGAGCCTGGTGCCTCCAGGCCCATAAGGAAAACTAACTCTTGCAGCCATTCTTATTTGTGTAGTCAGTCAGCCTTGTGTGTTGCTCTGGGCTGTGAGGGTGTAGCACACTCAGTGCATGCAAAGACAGCTGTGTGTGCAACAAACTTGGCCCAGCTGTTCCCTGACAGTGTGGTAACTGGACTGCAGAACAGGAAAGCTCTGCTCCCCACAGGATATACGTAACTGGAGCTGACTGGAATTTATTATACAGCTCTAAATGTCAGGCTGGCTTCAGCTGTCTTTGGATGTGGAGATATGGGATGCTGACAGCTGGGGGGAAGAATTAAATTTGGAGCCAGATGTGATAATGTTGAGAGCAATCTCAGACAAACAGCCCTTCCTGTGGTTAGCAGAGGCAGAGAGGCCAGTGAAAGCTTTTTCTTCCTGCTATTTAAAGCACGTATCAGTATTTACACCAGGCAGTTGGAATTGAAACTTTCTTGCTTGACTTAGGGGTGCTGGCAGCTCAGAGAAAGCCCTTGCTGCATCCTGCTTTGCTGTTAAGCTTGTTTGTTCATAGTTTAGACTGATTGCTTTGCCCCTCCTGGCTCAGCATCCATTGTAAAAAACTCTGTTCTGGATAACTTGTTATTTGTTTCTTTGCAGAATTCCTTTGCGTCCTTCCCTGCTCTGCTGATGTCCTGTATTACACTGAACTGAAAAGATTATTTGCCTCAATTTCAGGTAACTGTCATTCTTGGCACTCTCTCTAGTAAGATCTGCTTTGAGTTGCCTGCTATAGCACTGTTAATAATAGAAGCAGTTATCTTGGCATCTGTTCTCAGAGATAATCGCGTATCTGTGAATGGTGATGTGAAGGTAGAAGATCCTCAGCTGCATATGAAAATCTGCACGTGTTGTTTCCTAGAGCCTTTCTGTGAGCTGCCCATGATGTCCCTTAGAAGTTTGAGCCTTCCCTGAATTTCCATCCTGTATCCTGCCTCGGGAAGCTGGGTGCTTAGTTACCTTCCTACCCCTCACGTTCTCCGAATCCTCCTGGACACGTGTGATCATGTGTCACTAGAAAGGGTCACAGTGAGGATCGGGATGTGCCAAGGTGTCTTGGACAGGATTATCCTTGATGAGGCTTGGCTAAATGCTTATCTGTATTTTCTGCTTGCCCAATGCCTTTTGCTTAGCCCAGGCTGCAGGAAGAAGCTTAGTGAGCACCTGCTTGAGCCATCCCTCCCTCTGAGCTGCTTGTCTGACTTACGCACATCACAGAGGAAACGCACTGAAACCCCAAACCACCTAAACCTGCTGGGGGAATTTAAGGAAGCTGGGAATGTTACTGCCTTCTGTGCTGGGACACCGGCATGGGGACCCTGACCCTGCAAAAACCCATTGGGATCTTCAATTTCTGGGAAGAGAGACCAGCATAAATCTTGGTCCATCAATGCATTGCTAACAGAGCTATGTATTTTTAAATTATCTTTTCCAGAGGACACATCCACGGTGCCTCCTAGTGCCAGTGCAATGCACCAGCACTTTAGAGAGTGTAGCATTAACAGCATCATTTTGCCCTGAGCTTTCTTTACATCTCCCCTTCTCCTCCCTGAACCACAGCAGCCTGAGTGCAAAGCCCCAGGCCTTAGCTTTCTATTTTTTTCCTTTTTTATTTTTTTCTTTCTCTAAACACATGATGGGGTGATTAACAAAATAGGAGTGATAACAAGAGTGACTCAACTAACGATCCTGAAATAGTTCAGCTAAGCATCCTTTCCTTGAAGAGTTTCACCAATTGGCTGTGCTTTTAAATACTCTTTTTGGGTGCTATTTCAGAAGTCTTAAATGTCACATAACTTTCAGTATAAGAAATCTTCCCCTGTTCCCCACCTCAGCTTACGCATTTGCAAGGGCATAACTGGAGGGGCTGGGCAGCCTCACGGTCCTTCCTCCCTCCTGCCGAGCAGGTCCCTGTGTCACCAGTTCTGGGCAGGCTGGACTGAACTTGCTTCTCCCTGCCCTGTGCTCAGGCCAGGGCCGTGGGGGAGGGAAGAGCCTGCCAGAAGCAGATAGGCTGAGAGAGGAAATGAGACACACTTTGGAGTTCAATAGGCAATTTCTTTTTAACTTTTTTTAAGCCCGTGGCAGTTCTTAACTCTGGGTATTTTCCTAAAGTTTTGTTCCTCAAAATATTAAGAAAAACCCCCCTCTCAAAAGTCCCCACAAACTGTAGAACTGGCAGCCTTACTTAAAAAAGCCCCATTACAGTGAATGGGTCAAGATCTGCTCCAAAGCCCTGTTTAATCCCCCCTCTCTCCAACTGGTCACACCTGGACTTGCTCCCAGCTTCCCAAGTGCTGTCTTGGTAAGGACTGTTGGGGCAGCATCTGTTTTTTATGGAAATATCTCTCCCTCTTCCCCAGAACAAGCACATGGGGTGGGATTTATCCTGCTTTAGCCCTTGACACCTGATTGTGTAGGCTCACTTGATAGTGAAGGGAAAAAACAGATGTTTAAGGCATGATTCATCTGTCTGGGGTGAGTGTCTGAAATGGAATTCATTTCATGCTATGTCAGAAGGGTAAACATTATATAGGATTTATCCGTCCAAACTTAGTTTCTATCACTTCAGCAGAAGGAACTGATCTCAAGCAAGATAAAAGCAGCAACAGTCCAAGTGAGCCCTGCAGGTGTACCCAAAATCCTGCCGAGTGAATCCTGGGCTTTATTCCTCACGAGGAACCTGCTCCCGCTCTGCAGGCTGCCGCTTCCCTGCGCCCACGGGGCTCTGAACCCGCAGGAGCAGCCGGGCATCTCTGTACCAGTGCCAAGGAATGCACAGAGGGAGCAGCAGGGAGCTGCATCCACTGGATTCAGATTCTTTGGAATACTTCCATATATTGGCAGAGTTAAGCAAACCTCCTCTAGTTGAATCCTCAGGGTGAGATTTTTTTTCATGTTGGTCAAAATTGTGAAACACAAGTTTCAATCTCAGCACCTTAGCAGGCCTTTTTCTAGTGAGTAACGTACCGTGTAGATCGTTACTCATGTACCAGTTTCTGGTGCCTCCACCATCAGTTGGGCTTTTGGGGAAAGCAACCGCTGTTTCTGAGAAGAATTAATCATATTTAAGTAATATAATGACTTTTGGCCGTTAGCAGCTCAGTGCCTGTGCTTTCCCCCAACCTTGTCCCCCTGCCCCCCTTTTTTCTTTTCCTATAGCTAGTGGAGGAAGGAGACCCTCATTTCAGGAGTGAAAAGGCTCAATGAAGCTAAGTCATAGTTTTGTTTGCGTTCATAGATCGCTGTTACAGAAGAAAGTTGATAATTTTTCTCTGCACCTTTAAGGAAATTGCAAATCAGAAGGAGAGATAAGCAGATTAAAAAATCATTCTTAGAGGAGTTGATCATGCTTTTCCTATATTGCTATAGAAAAACAAAAAACACAATCATGCCATGCATTTGCCCCAGATGTTTTCACATTCCTAGAACTGTTTTGAAATATTCCTCTGAATTTTAATAGTAGGTCAAAAGCAGGAATATCCATTCTTGTTGTGGGGGTCTATTTCCTTCTCTTTCTTTTTTTTTCTTTTTTTTTTTCCTCTATCATAATTAACCTTTTGCTCGTTAACCAAAACATAAAACCCTCCTCAAAATAATAGCTATCTTTCCCCCCCCAAATACAAAATACCTTAAAATAAATGAACAACAAAGCAGCCAGATGATGCTGCACGGGTTAAATGTTCCCCCCCCGCAATACAGAATGCCTTAAAATAAATGAACAAAGCAACCAGATGATGCTGCACGGGTTAAATGTTTCAGTTACATCACAAAGATTAATCTGTGGTGAATAGATCCAGCTGAATTATGAGATGGTTTTGTTTGGATGCAGCTTCTCCTTCAGGACTTTGCTAAACCATTGATTGCTAGAAGCAGTGAAGATGCAGCAATAGGGAGACTCGCTCTGTCCATTCTCTGTGTCGTGTCCTATGGGACCCAGTAGATCCATGTCTGTGTTCTGATCCTGATTGTCTTGTTCCTGACACCCTTGTGAAGCCTCTTTCCAGCAGAACATGCCAGGGATGATTCTTCATGCATAACACGGTGGTTTTAAGACTTCCACAGACCGGAGGAGAGCTGGGACCTCTGCACCTTTGTGCATGTGGTGAATCCCCCTCTCGCACTGAGCAGGAGGGTTCTCCTGCTCCTGCCTCTCCACTTGCTTTTCCCCACTCTCACTTGGAAGGTTGGGTGACTCTGAGCTCCCACTTCCTAGGTCAGGAATCACTGCTGACTTGCCAGGAGGAGAAAGCCCTGCCTGGAGAGCCAGGAGCTTTGCCATAACGTGAGCCCATGCTGGCTGCTGCAGCCCTGGGAGCACCCAAGGGAGCCCCTGCAATCCCAGTAAAGTCAAAGCTTTGACTTAAAGAATGCTGCAGAGAAAAGGCAGAAGCACCCCCCTTCAACCCCCCTGCAAAGCTCAGTTTGTTACTAGCAGGGCCTGGCTTTACCGCAGTGAACTTGGTGGCCGCGCTCAGCCTCATTACAGCTTTGACCACAGTCTCAGTCATAGAGAGGTATCAGTTGTATTATGAGCTCTGTTCATAAACTAATTCAACGTCCTGAGTTGCTTCATTTATTCTTCCTTGCACCACCCTCATTCCCTGGAATTTCATTTTTCAAATATTTGAGCGAAAAGTTAATATATTAACAAGTCAAAAAGAATAAACAGTCTTAGAGAAAGATAAGACAGTCCATCTTATCCATCGCATCTCTGACCCACAGTGTCATTCCCTCCTACAGCCTTCCACCTACTCAGGCTGCAGAGCACTACCTGTGCAAAAACAATAAGTGACTAAAGAAAGCATGAAACTTTCTACAAGAAGCAGAAACAAGCTGTGAGTCTTAATGCCTCCTGGGCTAGTGGGATGTCATGCACCACAGAACAGGCAATTCTCTTGTGCATTTGTTCTTTGCAGACATCACGATGATGGGTAAGCCATGGAAATACAGATCCAGGTGGAATGCAGCAGTGAGCAAATGCAAAATTAATTTTTGCAAAAGTTCAAGGTTTTATGGCTGCAGTGCAGATGCTCATTAACAGAAACATTTTGAAACTATGAATGATACAGGTCATTTGCTTTGCGAAAAAAGAGTTCTTTGAAGTCTCCTTTGCAAATGTATTTTTTCGTGTTTTTGAAATAGTTTCTTTTTTAGCTTGAAAAACTAAAAAAAGAATCATTTGCTTTGCAACAGAAGAGTTCTTTGAAATCTCCTTTGCAAATGTATTTTTTTGTGTTTTTGAAATAGTTTCTTTTTTTAGCTTGAAAAACTAAAAAAAGATAGTTTTGCTTCGACTTTTTAAAAATAATAAATAGGAGGATGATGGAAACATTTTATTCTACGTTATTTAAATACTCTATTAGTCTGCTGCATTCCTGTGTCATTCAATGTGAATTTGGCCATTATCATTACTACTAGAGCTGAAGAGAGGCAGAAGCTGCGGGGTGCCTACTCACCACTGTCCATGGTCTTGGTTCAGGCAGTACCAAAGTCACAAGAGGAGCGAGAGCATCGTCCGCTGGAGCGCAGCCTCCCCGCGCCGTGGCTCCTGCACGGGCGCTTGGGGAGGCTCTGCATTTTATACTTCCTGCACCTCTGCAGGAGGCTCACGACATGCCCTGGCGTCGCTGACATTTACTAGACCCTCCTCTTTCTCCTCGTGCCTTCAGCGGCGCAGGAAAGCCGCGCCGCGCGCCCCAGCCTCCTCGCAGCGCTCGGCGTGCTCACGTTCTTCCTCAGCATGAGGCTGAAGTCGAAACCACACGCGCTCATGTGCTCCAAGGACGCAGTAACCCGAGCGGGTTCTGCTTTTGCACTGACACACGAGAATTGTGATTTTGGTAAAGGTACAAGAGGAAAGACTTCTGTTATTTCTGCTTCTCGCAGTAGATCTACTGGGTACTCTTTGTTCCTGAGTTGACGCAACTTCAATATGAAGCTTGGTTCGTGGCTGTCCAGCTTGAACCTTGCAGCTCACTGCTGTAACAACCAGGTGTAAGAAGCATCAGCAGCTCCTTCCTCACCTTGTCCTTCACTCCTCCATGTGGGAGAATTCCTGCTTTGATTCTGAACAGCCTTATTAAGGGCTGTCGCATACGCATGCACATACTATACAAAATTGCCTTTCAGCTGGGAATACATGTGAGCACACCTGTGCAGCCCGTGTTTTAGCACCTTGACCTGTGCATCTGATACAGGGAACGCTGTCGTTGCCTGTGACCATACCTGTGCAACCTGTGTTTTAGCACCTTGACCTGTGCATCTTATGGTAGGTCAGTACTGTTGCTGCAGCCTCGAGAGATGGCACAATAAAGCCTTACGGGATAGATCTGAGATGGAGCTTACAGCTCCTAACAGGCTCGGCGGTACCAGGCGCATTGGGGCTGCAGTTAGGCACGTGGGTGTCCTGCTTAGGGTGCAGAGAGGGTTTAACAGTTCAGGATGGACCCAAATCAGCCAGCTCACTGAGCAGAGAACTGCCAAAACTAGCTGGAAAGAGCAGTCTCACAAGAGAGTGAAACTTGGGCGATTTTGTATGATTGGAAAGCACCTAAAAAGACCCTGTTCGGCCTCAGCGAATTCAAAACAAAGCAAATCCAGTATCTGGTCACACTGATTCTTTTGCAGGGAGGAATAAAGGGAGGATTGAAGGTTAAAGGATTTAGATCTAGGTCATATAAACCAACTTAAAGATTGTATTATTTACTTACAATGATATATATATATGAAATATATTTAGATCATACATGAGCAGCCATCTATGGTTTCAGACCCATCTTAAGCTTTGTGTCAGTCCAGTTTTCTCTTAAGTACCTTCTTGGTGCTGAGCTCTGGGTAGGCCAGGGCCACTGCTGTCCTGCCCCCGTTGTGGAGTACTCAGCGTGCCCTCGGAGCTGTGCCAGGGCTCTGCATCCCCCAGGGAACTCGCCCAAGGCCGGGCTCTCCCCCGGTAACCACACTGAGCACCAGGAATCAGCCCTGGCGACTCTCAGTATTTTCATGTGGCTTCCCAGAAGGTGACCCACAAAGTTTCCTTAGCATTGCATAAGCGCCCATCACTTTCAAGCTTTCAGGGCTTCTGAGCTGGCCCTGGAGGCAGGGGCAGTTCACGGCTCTGCTGCTGTATTTGCTTTTTGTTCATCGATTCTCGAGCAGGTAACGCCACCTTGGAGAGCTCGAGTGAAACCACTTCCGCGAGAAAGGGCTGGAGATCAAAGGCTTCTCTCAGGTATCGGCAGAATACTCAGAAACGGTGGGTGTAAAATCTTCAAACAGTCATTGTGCTGCCTGTGGGGGTGGTGGGTAAAGATAGACACAACCCCCTGATTTAACTCTCTATATTTTTACAGTTCTCTGAAGGGAATCAGACTTTGTCTCCAAGTGAATATACCACCAAATCCATGGTGACTGAAGCCAAAATACAATGGGAGGAAAGAAGCTTTGCAGGTAGTGGCAAATATCCTGTGCGTATTCACAAGTTTTATCTTCAGAGTTTAGGTACATACTAAATTGTGTGTTGTCAGAGCCTGCTCCTTTCAGCAAGTCGTGTTCCTGAAAACACAACTGGAAATTTTTAAAACAATAACTTGCAATGGGTTTATTACTGAATATTCTTGGAGCAGTAGTGTTTCATACCAGGCTAGCTCTAAAACATTTATTAAAGTTTTGTTTAATTTGGATGGCATATTTGCAATCCATTGCAACTGTGCCTTAATGGCTCCGTGTTGTCAATATATTCCCTTTAATACCTGCTTCCTGTGAGCTGTCTTTGAGTGCCCATGAACATTCAGACATAATTCACTCCTCAGCAGTGCCTGGCCTAATCATCGCCTTGTGCTGTTTTCACAGGGGTATATGATCTTTATCCTAGAATTTAAGTTAACTATAAGAAAACATTCAAGATGGAGACTACCTGAATTCATGGGTATCTTGTTAGAAACTTGGAGTATCTCATTAGAAACTTGATTTATTATTGTGTTCCACTGCAAGAAAAGAAGTCATCAGCAGTACAATTTGCTACCTGCGCTGCAGTGTTAGAGCTACATTGAAATTATTCATCAATATAGCTTTTCAAAAGAAATGCAGTTCCCAATAAATTCCACAGGAAATTAGCTCAGAAGAAGATTTCATTTTAGGTTGGTTCTACACAAACTGAAACACTAAATTTGCTGAAGTGAATCGAAAGATACTATTTTGAATTGGTTATTTTGAGTTGATTTGACGTTAAATTGCAGCTCATGCAGTGATGAAATGTCTCATGGGAATTTAGATGATATATTTCACATCCGTATCCTGGTCTATAAAATAGGACTTCCTGCAGTCCCTTCTTCAGCCAAGTCAGGGATGTCACAGTGCATCGTAGCAGATGGTGCCTGGGCAGCATGCGCAGGCTGGACGGAGGAGCTGTGGTATTATCTTACCAAGCAGAATTCAAAAGGCTCTATTGGACCTTGTCAAGGTGCGAGTTCGTTCTGAAAAGGCGTGAGATAAGATGCTTTCAGGTCCCCAGATCAGAGCTTTCCTGCATTTCCTATTAGTTTGCCATTAACAGAATTGAGACGTAAACAGAGATGTAAACATACGCGAGTGGGTGGAAATTCCATCCCGCTTCACCTGGATGCAGCTCAAACGGTGCTCAGTGAGTAGCAGTGACAAACAGCTTCAGGTGAACAAACCAACTCCAGGCTGAGTATCAGCAGAAGAGTTTTCTTATAACTGAAATAAAGCATTGCAGGCTAAGTTTAGGTGTTACAGGTGCCTTGCCAGCTTCTGATCTGTCCCTGTCTTCCCTGCATCCTGCAACAGGAGAAGACAGCATGGAGCATTAAAGGAAAACGCCCCTCAGCCCACTCCGTACCAGGGATGTTCCTGTTCCGTTGCTGATCTGAGCCACAGAGGGATCCATGGATGGATTTTTCCCCTTTACCTGAGGAAGACCAGGGTCACGTAGACGGAAGCACTGGTGAGTTCAAGGGAACTCAAATGTCCACTTCCCAGTAGCTTCTCTTGCATCACGGTGAGACCACGATGTCTCCGTGCTGCTTGACCAGGACAAAAGCTAAGGTCCCCAGTACAAAGCTATGGTCCCTGGAATCTCCCAGATCGGCCTCCTGCCCACAAACCCTTCTCCATTCCAAAGCTACTGGGCTGGCATTTCAGAGACCCAGAGGGAAGGTTCCCCTCCTAAAGTCACTAGGTTTACTCCAGGGAGGCCTTCAAGCAAACAAAATAGCAGAAGTGAAAATTGAAGTAAATTCCTGACATTAAGAGTGGTAGCAAGATGGGATTCTTCAAGAACAGGGGTTCTTACAGGGCTGTAGGGGATTCCCTGAAAAAAAATCTTATGATTATGATCTCACTATGAGGCTATTAAAAGATTCTTATCCACCCAACAGAGGAAGTAATCTGCACAGCAGAGTCGCTCGCCTCGAGAACGAACGGCTGCCCGCGGCCGCTGGCGCAAACGCTGCCCCTGTGCCCGCCGCACGGTTGGTGTCACTGGGAATTCCCCTCCCTCCCTGCCTGCATCATAGCAGGGATGCTGACTTTCTCCAAGTTCTCTCTTTCGCAAAAAACCACCAACAATTTGACCAGAATTGCATCTGCTGTGCCCCAAAGCGGCTTGCTCAACCTGCCCTCCAGGAATTGAGCTGTAACAAGGCAAATGCACCCAAAGACTCAAGCAAGCAGGGCAGCAGGTGCTGGGAGAAGTGGGGAAGCTCTCTGGGGCTTCCAGTGGAGGAGCAAAGCAGGGGAACGAGTCACTGTCCCAGGCTGCTGCTTGCTCTGGCTCTCCGAACGCTGCAGGTCAGGCCCTGAGGTTACAAATCAAGTGTCAATCATTGCATTTCATGTTTGCATTTTTCCTGTCACCCTTTCTGGTTCTCCCCCAGTCCCCTCTGGAACAGGTGCCAGGATTTTAATATGGATCTTTCAGCAAACGGAAAGTAGCTGTTCACAAAAAATATACGGGTTTTTATAAGTAGCAAGTGAAGCTATACATGCTAGCTTAAACAAAATAGGACAACAGCCAGATAACTGCAAAACCACTTCAAAAGAAAAAGAAAAAGAATAACACCACGCACACACATAGCCTGAAAACAGTGAAGAAGAGTGTCAAAATGAAAGAAGGGAACTGAGAACAAAAACAGATAGACCTGAAAGCAAGGATCCATCTTTCAAGCCTGTAGGCTAATGGCTGATGTCGGTTTAGTTCTCTGTACAAATTCCACTTGAGAGGGATCTGCAGAATCCCCGTGTCATTTCAGTCGTGCTGGGCATTCCCAGGAGAGGCTGCAGGTCTGGGAATCAAAGCCCTTGGCTATTCAAAGTGCGATCAAGTGGCGCGAGCCCCTTCAAGCCACGAGCGCCTGCCCGGGCGCGTGGAGGCTGCGTGACCTGGGTTCCAAGTGACCCGCGCACCCCTTGGTGAGCCCAGCTTGTGGCCAAGGCGAGCGGAGAGTGTGGAGCTGATTTCTAGCCTCTGCTGAGCCTATCACAACGTTCAC